GAGAGACTCGAGGCTCGTCGTGTGCCTCGTGCGAGATCGACACTCGCGATCGCGCAAATGTCCCGTAAATGATTATAAGAGAAGAAAAGTAAAGACCTTGCAAGGATAATAATATAAAGTCTCTCTTTTTTTCTTTCTTTCTCTATCTTCTAATTAACCGCTACAGCGCAGACCCTCGAGCTGTAGCACCCTTGTTACTTACAGCCACGTGCGCGCATACGATACAATTGTACGATATATAAAGAAGTGCGGTTTTCACAATTTGATATATAATATATAGGTATATAAAAGCGCGAAAAGTAAAAGCGAATAATTGATGGAAAGTCGGCGGCGGACGGTATAATGGTATAACGTATATATAGGCGTGTGTCTGACCGTGACCTTGACCTTGTCCTCGCTGTTGTACGCTCGGCGCTGCCTAGCTAGCTCTGTGGCCTTTTGCACACGGAGAGGGGGGGGGGGGCGGCGGTGGAGCGAGTGGGTGGCTGAAGGTGTGTGTGTATGTGTCTGTGCGCTAGCTTCTCAGGGTCGATGCTGCAGCAGCAGCATGAGAGCAGCAGCGCGCGCCCGCGCACACCGACCGACGGAAATCCACACGAGCCGAGCGAGTTTCGCGGAGCTTTTCTCCGTTATCGACGCATCGGTGCTGCTGCTGACACTGCCGCTACTGCTCAGCGTGGAAAATCAATGCGCTCGACTGCTGCTGCTGCTGCTGCTGAATCGTTACGCGAAGTAGCTTTTTTCCTGCCCGAAATTCGAACGTGTTTGTGTCTGTCGGACCTGTTGATATTATATTTATACAAGGTTTACAACCCGAAGATTTTCCGAATGACTTGTGTAGAGTACACAAGGCGAAACTCGCGTTACACAATGCCATAACGCGATAAGAGAGAGAGAGAGAAATTGACGGGTTTTCGTGTATATATCAGCGGGTGAGCTTTGATATACATCATCGCGTGCGTACATTATGTACCGAGCGCGCGACGAGGCCTAATTTACGCGCCGATAATGAGGTAAAATTTATGATCGTGTCTCTCGCGGCTCGTAAACAACCGATTTTTATTGCGACTCGTTGATGCGTCGTTCGTTGGCGACGACGACTAAATGTCGATCAGTGGAGCAATGCCAAAGTATTAGCGCAAGTACAAGGTACGAGACGCGTTTAATATATCGAAATCGCGTCGGACTATACAATAATACACATCTGCTGCTGCTGATGATCTCGAACGTCTCGTTGTACTTTGTATTCTTTATATTATAATAGACTGAGATGAGACAGCGGCGGAGGTATGCGAAATCATTGTTTCAACGCGACGATGTGTGTGTATGTGTGTGTAGCAATCGAAGACTGAAATAGAAAACGTTATTATATAGGATAATTATGATAATGTCTCTGCGCGTTTCTGAGATATCATACAAATATATATCCCACATTAAGGAGAGTATAGGGGCGATGATGATGCTAAATTGTCATCGATATCGTTAACTAAGTATACACATTATAACGCACGCAACAAAAGAAAAGAGTAAATATCGCTCCTCTCTCTGCTTTAATCCTCCCGGCATCATCATCATCGTCGTCGTCGTCGTCGTCGTCTCTACATCTCATCTCGTCCGCCGAAAGCTCGAAGCTGGCTCGTAATTGCCCGCAAGGGGGTCAGTGACACACACTCGAGTCTCACATATATCATCATCATCATCGTCGTCGTCGTCATCGTCACATGCATTATATGCGTCGAATCATCGTCATCGCCGCTGCCGTCTGCGATCGTCGCTTCTACTCCTCCTCGTCGTCGTTATTGCGCTACTGCTGCGCTGAGCCGCGGGCTGTTGCTGCATCGGGAGGAATACCACACGGCGGCTACTTCGGCCCGACGAACAAGACGTCGTTTAGCTCGTTTAGGTATTAACATATAGCAAAAACAGAACAACAACAAGAACAAACAATTCATTATTCATTCGTGCGTTTCGCGCGAGATATACTCGCGATAGTCGATAGTTGTTGTAATTTTTTTTTTTTATTCGTTTGTTTCGCGCGGACTTCTCGGCTTACTCCGATGATCGAGGCACACACAATGCCTTCGTAGTAAATTTAAGCCCATTATCATTATTATTAAGCTTTTGCGTATAGGAGGGGGAAGGGGGGGCTCTCATGTAAAGTGTCACAATTCTGAAGATAAGAATTAGCAGCTCTCCCCCTTTCGTCGTCGTCGTCGTCGTCGTCGTCACGTGCAGCAGCAAATGTATTAATATAATAATCGAGCTTTGTTTCGATTGTGTTGGCCTTCGAAAAGAGCCTTGCATGAATTTTCGAAAAAAAAATTTTCTGCCTCCTTATTTGTGTAATAAAATGACTAATCGTACGAATGCGGGTGGTATATATGCGCGACGGATGAATCACATCGCCGTTATTGTTATTGCTCTGTTTTTTTTTGCTTCTCGTTTTATTGTAACTAAGCGTGTTGCTTCCACGGAAAACTACCTATATATAAGACTCGTAAAAAAAAGAGTCGAGAAGTATAAACGACGTTTTTCGCTATATAGTTAGACGAGAAGCATCCATGAAATGGAAGTAGTTGAATTTTATTCACATAGTAGTATTATAGTATATAAATTCATTCACGATTCTAATGCGGGGGGAGCAGCAGCAAAAAAAATTAGGAGCTAACAGAACGTAAAGCGAACATGTGGCCACAACGTGCAGCTTAACACACGGCATGCTGCGTGAAGTAGTAGCCGGCTCGTATATCGTCGTGTGTAAAAATCAATTGGAACTACACACTCGGAAGTGTTCTCTCCTCTTTTTACTCGGCAGGCAGGCATGATGTAGTCCGCAACGCATGCGAGCACTTAATTTCCAAGTGCCTCTGTATATCGAGCTCTGTAGCTCGTTGACACACGATCTCCCATGCTATACAGCAGCTTTGGTATATATGTGAGAAAAAGCTCGTATACGCACGCCGGTGAGATCGGTTTTATTATTTCTCTCGTTCTAAAATCTCGCGGATACGGAGATTCGACGACGACGAAATGCATCTCTGGCAGAGGCTTTATCACAGTCCGTTTTACACGATCATTAGCGTCTGCAGAAGGAAGTCGGTACATTATATTAACATAGGCATGGGTGGTGTATCCTCCCCCGTGTGCGCGTGCGTAAGCTCGCAGCCAGCACACATAGAGAGTCTGCGTGTGCCGCGAGAGAGTCTGATAAAAAGCCGGCCGGCTCCTCGCCTGCAGCAGCAGCAGCAGCTATACGACGATGGTGTGTGCGTAATATCGATCGGTATCGCACACACACTTACACACACACCAAACCAACCCCCCAAGGCAGACGGGGCGGCGGCGACGGGCCCCACCCTCTGTGTTTGTATGTGTGCGTATTCCGCTGCCGCTGCTGCTTTTCCCCAGGACCTATATATCGCATATGTATATAACGCAGGCGAAGCGCGAGCAGCAGCAGCGGCAAGCGACGCCGCCGCGCTATAATGCACATACACGCCGGTATATACATATAATGCTGCTGCGCTTCCCCTTCGTATATATATTGCGTTACGTATGTGCGTGTGTGTCTCTCTCGACGACGGCTACGAATGGCCAACGCCACCAAGCCCCAAGCTCAATGCTATAAGCTAAGCAGCATACGAGAGAACGAGAGAAAGAAAGACGACACGGATGCAGGACGACGCGCTTTTCAATATATTCATTAATTATTTATTCATGAAAAATAAGAGATTTAATTTTTATCTTGGCAAAATGTATTTTAAGAAACGCATCATCATCCCCCCGCTTTAGCTGTTGAAATCTGCGTCTCGTCTAGATTTTCGAATTTTTCACTTTCCCATCTGGACGCGCCGAGATCGGTCGGCGGTATATAGTCCCCTTTCTCTTCGGGCTTTAGCCCACATATTATTCTCTTTCTCCGCGCTCGCGTCGTTGCATGTATATACGCGCGCGCGTTTGTATGTGCATTGGAGCGTATTATACGTGTACGAGAGTCACGCGTACAAATACATACGCACAAACACACTCACACGCGTGTATAACAAAGACAGGCGGCTCGAGCGAGAGTTGCAATGCTCGGAGCAGATGTGTGTATGTGTGTCTGTGCGTTCCTCGCTTGCCTTCTCCATATCCCTGTTTATATGTATATATGTCTGTGTACCCGTGCGTATATGCCCCTGCCTATAGGCACTGTGCAGTATAATACATATACATATATTCGCGCTTTTACGTTCGCCAGGCTAAAGGCGCACACAACGTAATATATATATAGCACGCGGCACAGCGCTGCACGGCCTCCGCAAACTTCGCTCAACTTTTCGCAGTGATAGCGTAGAGTCCGCGGCGTCCGGATCGCCTCACATACACACACAGACACACAGTTTGGTTCCGCCGCTGCTCTCCTCTCGAAGACGCATATAGCACGGATTTATAAGCCTCCTTGCTTAAAACGTCGTTAATCGTATCGATAATAAACGGAGCGACGAGGAAAAAAGGAGAGAGAAAGAGAGAGAGGGCTTGGAAATAATAATAAAGCGATAGAACAAAGAGAGATAGAAAGGAAAAATTGATCCTAAATTTTTTATTATCGATAGATAAAATAAAATAATAAAAGAGAAGTGCGTGCGTGTGTACTACTACTACCTAGATTTATATACGTCTCTGTGGTGGTGCTACGATATCGCAATAATATAATAATACAATAGCGAAAACGCAAAAGCCCAAGTGACAGCGCTCGCGCGTCCGACGCCCAGGACGCCCGGCGTTTATACACACATACGTACATACACAGACGGTGTTGTAGCAGTAGTAGTGGTATAAGTGCGTGCGGCCTGCTGCCGCTTGCTGCTACACGAGCAGAGTAGAGTAGTAGTATGCTCATGATACTCGCGCGTACATAACGTCGCTATCTCTCTACCGCTGCTGCCGCTACGTATATAATCGGAGTCGTCGTCCGAACAAGTAGAAGAAGAAGGAGAAAGAAATTATAAAGGCGAGATAGATATATAGAGAGAGAGAGAAGCCGACGACGAATACGAGAGAGCGACGAGGCATCGCAGTACATTTCCCGTTGCATCGCACGTGCGAGAAGAGAGCCCAAGGAATAGGAGTGTAGCTGTTATAAAAGCCGCCGCCGGGCCTTACAACGCACGCAGTGAATATAAGTGTACGTGTGCGCGAGCACGAGCCGAAAAATCGGAGAAAGTACGTACGAAGAAGAAGGTTTATATATAGCCGTGTGCGCGGTCGGATTTTTTTGAATTTTCGAAGGCAGAGCGGCGAAGAAGGCGCTGCTGCGAAGGAAGAAAGTTTTAATACACGAGCGTCTCATCATTGCCGGAGTGCTCGCGGTGCAGTGAACGTACAGTGATTTTTTTCCCCGCTACTACCAATACTCGATTTACGATTTTTTTTTCGTACTCGAGAGTCCGAGAGAGAGAGAAAGAGAGAGCGTAGGACACATACGTACGTACACCAAGCCGCAGAAAGGGCGGCACACGCAGAGCCGAGAGCAAGAGAGCAACAGAGACGGAAGAAAGAGAGGCTGTGTGCGCTACAACCACACCCCTTTCACCGACGACGAGCATATATACAGCAGCGCGTAGTCGCTTCGCTGCGTTGTTTATACATATATAGAACTGTATACGCACATTGGATAAGTGCGTGTGTGTGCGTGTGATATCGTTGGAAGAAGAAGAGAAAAAAGGAAATTTATTTTTGAATTTTTACGCGCGCCCTATCGAGTGTGTGTGTGCGTGAAAAGAATCAAAGAGAGCTACTTTAATTTAAACGAAAAACAAAAAAACAAACCAGAGAGCAATAATGGGCGGATGCACATCCAAGGATGCCGCTTCGAGCGACGAGTACGTAACAAACGAACATCTTTTTTTTTCTAATACATAAGAGCAGTGTTGTACACGATATACATTTTTCAACAACAAAAATTATATCAAATCTCGTGTGTGTGTATATCCTGTCTACGTGTATTATACATACATATTGTACACACAGCATACGACTAATACTCGGAAAAATCTAAGCGCGCATCGGCCGTTGCGCAATGTTCATCGTCGTATCGCATAGTATGTAGTCGTCGTGCGCTGCGCTATACCACTATACAATGTATGATGAAAAAAGAGATCTTAGCCGACGATATTCTCGCGCGTGGGATTCCACGGAATTGCGATTTTAAGTTTCTTTTTCTCCTTACGTATCGCGTAAATATTTTTCGTCGTTGTTGTTGTTCAGGAGTATATATGCGACGCATGTCTGGATTTATTTATCGTATCGTTCGCGAGAGTTACGTTTCTTTGATAGTCTTCAATTTTGTGCGCTTGTGTCGGCGAGTCGAGCCGATTGGAGCAGCAGCTACTGCTGCTGCGTCTCTCGCTCAAGTGGCTTGAGAATGCGACCGACAATTGCGCACACATACTCAGACGTCTACCACGTTTACATTGCAAGCGAGACATGCGTTTTCTGATTGAACGGCTCTTAATTGGAGGATGAACTTTTCAAGTCGTCATGGAAAATTTTTTTGACTCGCTCGCGTGCCCCCTTTTTTTCGTCATTAATTCCTTTTTGTTTTTACTCTCGCGCCCGCGTACTTACTCGCTCGAGTTATTATAATAAAATATAATTTCTGCATCGATTCTCGCGGCTAGGCTGGCGGCGGCGAGCTTTTTACGCTTTAATCGAGGCTGTTGCAAATGTAAAGACGGCCACAACCCTACACACACATACATAAACATATATGTATTATTGTACTGCCACTTTGAGCGTTAAGTCTTAGCCACTATTTTTAGAATTCTCTTTGGAGTTTTAATGTGCGAGCGGCGCGCGTCTGTGCATCATCGCACACCCGCGCGCGCGCGCGCAGGCACACACATGCCACTGGCATTGAACTATATGGGCACAAAAAAAAATCTCTTCTTCGGGTGAAGCTAAAGTATATTATATACTGACACGTGAAATTCTTGGCACTTTTGTTCACCCGAAGTCGGCGGCCCGGAATGTAGTATAGTAGTAGTAGTAGTATGTGTTATATGCAACGTTCAACAAGTAAAGTAGACACACACACATAAACACACGTAGGCCATAATCGCCGGACGTTCGTAAACTTTCTTCCGGCTCCCCGTCATGTGCGCAACGACACCCACATAACACGTCTCTATCGCGTAGGTGTTGCCGCGTTTTGATTATTTTTTTTTTGTTCTGCTCTTTAAATCGTCACGCGACGAAACTTATGCCTCTTATAACGCATATTTATGCACGAGTCGCGCGACGACGACGACGACGACGACGAGGGGGATGAAGATATTTTCATATACATGCAACGCGTATACGGGAAACTTGACACGCGCTCGGTGTTTTATATATGTGCGAAAGGAGAGATAAAAGGCGTTTGTTACAGAACCTAGTCAAGTTTAATATCGTCTCTCTCTCTCGTAACCCTTTAAAAAATAAAGAAGAGAGAGAGAGAGGAGAGGTCGTGCATTAAGCGCGATAACGACGTGATACTTGAAAAGTGATCCCTTCCTCGTGTGTGCGATACATGCATGTGTACACGGTCGGCGGGGGGAGGCCCCAGCTATTGTTGCCCGAGTGTCGAGTAAGAGAAAGAAAGAGAGAGACGATGATGACGATGATAATATGTGCTTTGTGTGGGCCTCACAGCTCTCTTATACTATCGCTCGTGTGCAGCTGTTGTGTCGTTATCGCATGATCATTATTATTATCATTATCATTATTGAAAAATAAAAACGATACCCGCAGCGCAATACTACTTAAAAATACGTGGAACAGGAGGACGATAAATCGAGCGAACGGAGATTGACTAATTCGCCTTTTTTTTCAGCGCTGTACATAAGATAATTATCGAAATTCTCTCGCGAAGTATATTTATTTATAGATTTTTGCGCTATTGCAATAATGCAAGAGGATCGATATATATGTACGCGTCGTTTTTTTTTTTTTTTTTTTAATCATCCGTTAAAGTATTATATTTATATCGACATCGCTGAAAAGTAATTAGCCGTCGTCGGTTCGGAAACCGGTTATATATACATAAAGCCGAGCGATAAGATTTTTTTTTTTTATTTTTGCGCGCGCGAGAGAGCATTAAATATTTGTGTGCCATTAGCTGCAAAATTCGTCATGTATTTATATACACGCGTCCCGAGAGCTGTGTTACGTATACGCGAGAGAGCTCGGAGAAGCGGGAGGAGGCAACGTTGAAAAAATATCGTTATTACATGTGTATTATAACTTGTTGAGCCACTTTTTTTCTTCTTTTTTTTTTTGTTCTTTCGCACACATGCCCAAGTGCACTCGTTCTTTGAGAGCTGCTGCTGCTGCAGCCACTGCCGCCGGCGTTCTTACGCTGCTGTACTTTTCGCGCGCTGTCTCGTCTCCGAGCACAAGGCACATGCATACGTACGTATACGCGCGCAGAGATAATATTCATTGTGAATTATGCCTCGCGCGCCCCGAAACGATTATCCAACTTACGCCGTGAATTAAGTAACGGTGAAACCACTGCGGCCTTATTCGGAGCAGCGCAGCAGGGGCAGGAAATCACGCGTGGGCCGTGACGCAAGTCGTCGTTCTTCCTTTCCTTCGTCGCTTTATAAGCTTGCTTGCTCATACATAATATACACCTTATTATAAACTCCTCTACGTGTGATTTTATGCAATTATCTAATTTGATTTATCTTTCTATCCCCAAAAAGCAGCAAAAAAGGCGGTATGGTTGACCAGGAGACTCTCGACAAATTGGAGGCAGGCTTCGCCAAGCTCCAGGCCTCCGACAGCAAATCCCTGCTGAAGAAGTATCTGACCAAGGAGGTCTTCGACGCCTGCAAGACCAAGAAGACGTCCTTCGGCTCGACCCTCCTCGACGTCATCCAGTCCGGCGTTGAGAATCTCGACTCCGGCGTAGGCATCTACGCGCCCGACGCCGAGTCCTACACCACCTTCGCCGAGCTCTTCGACCCGATCATCGAGGATTACCACGGTGGCTTCAAGAAGACCGACAAACACCCGCCCAAGGACTTTGGCGATGTCGACACTCTTGGCAATCTCGACCCGACCGTAAGTTTCTTTTCTTTGTTCTCATCGAATGATTATCATTCACGTGATGAGCTAATCTCATTTCTTTGTTTATGCAGGGCGAGTACATCGTGTCCACCCGCGTCAGATGCGGTCGCTCCATGGAGGGCTACCCCTTCAATCCCTGCCTCACCGAGGCCCAATACAAAGAGATGGAGGAGAAGGTCTCGGGCACTCTGTCCGGCCTCGAGGGCGAGCTCAAGGGCACCTTCTACCCGCTCACCGGCATGAGCAAGGAGACCCAGCAGCAGCTCATCGACGATCACTTCCTGTTCAAGGAGGGCGATCGCTTCCTCCAGGCCGCCAACGCGTGCCGCTTCTGGCCCACCGGCCGCGGCATCTATCACAACGACGCCAAGTCCTTCCTGGTCTGGTGCAACGAGGAGGACCATCTGCGCATCATCTCCATGCAGATGGGCGGCGACCTCGGCCAGGTCTATCGTCGCCTCGTCACCGCCGTCAACGACATCGAGAAGAGGATCCCGTTCTCGCACAACGACCGTCTCGGCTTCCTCACCTTCTGCCCGACGAATCTCGGCACCACGGTGCGCGCCTCCGTGCACATCAAGGTCCCCAAGCTGGCCGCCAACAAGGCCAAGCTCGAGGAGGTCGCCAGCAAGTTCAATCTGCAGGTGCGCGGCACCCGGGGCGAGCACACCGAGGCCGAGGGCGGCATCTACGACATCTCCAACAAGAGGCGTCTCGGCTTGACCGAGTACCAGGCCGTCAAGGAGATGCACGACGGCATCGCCGAGCTCATCAAGATCGAGAAGGAGCTGTAAAGCGTCGACGACAACGATGGTTGGTGGTGTCCCGCTCCCCGCCCCTCCTCCGATTTTCGTTTGACCATTCGATTAAAAAATAATTGTTGTCACAACACGAAACTCTGAAAGAGAGAGATATAGAAATAAATCACAAATTTTTTTTTCTTTATAAAATTCAGATTTCTACTTTGCGAGAATTTCACTCTCCACTCTCTCTCTCTTTACTCTAGCTCTCCCGTAAAAATCCTCCTTCCTCGATTGTCCTAATTTTTTTCTCCGATCTACGAATGGTGTGCACATTGTACCAATGTCGAGAGACAGCAGATGAAAAAAAGAGCAAGCCAACGAAATAAAAATGTAACCACCCACTCCAGCAACAATGAAAAAAAATCCCACCATAATATGCATGAAAAACGAATCGAAGAGAATACGCAATAAAGATCACTTCAGCAAAAGAGATAAATTTTCAAGAAATTTTAAATAACGTAAAAATTAACGACGCATTATGATATAGTAAAAGTATATATATTCTATAAACGATATTACGTGTAAAACCATTGATTAATGCAATTTTGCTGGCGTACGTGTAATAATGCAACATATTATAGATTTCTTCGTTCTTCTTTTTTTTTTCTTTCTTTTTTTGCGTTGCGCATCACTTGTTGCGTGCTCAGTTGAATGCGAGTTATACGATTGTTGATTGTTATGTATATGTAATTACTGTAATACTCAATATTAAACCACTCGATTTTATGTAACGTAAACGGTAACAAAAAGCTTTATTTTTTATTTTCGGTTGCGAATTTTTCATGATAATCGGCTTCGCCTAAGCGTGTGTCCGCGTTGTCTGTTCTATTCCCGCCTTTGTATGAGCGCATTGCGACGAAGAAGGAAAAAAAATGTTTCATTAGTTCCTTGATTACACTAAGAAAAGTATGTATTATTATTAACAGTCCGGGAAAATGTGGATATTAGGCTATAGTTGAAAAAAAAATGATCGTGTAAGATTAACCAAAGGAGAAAAAAAAATAACACAGGACACACATCACTCGAGCAGCTTGTACTATACGATCTATTGTATGTCGTGACTTTCAGTATTTTACATTGTGTTAATTATCATTTTCCGTCTTCTGTATTTCGACTTTCGATTTTATTCATTTTTAATTATTTGGAACTTCGAGAGAAAAGCGTTATATATGAGAAATACACATTCGTAGAGTCAAAAACCGAATCTATATAGATTTTTCTAGCTGATTAAAAAACAACAAGTTGAAAAACGTAGTAGAGGGGTTTTTGAAAACTCACAAGTAAACTTACCTAAAACCTTTGCTTTTCTTAAAAGTAGTTATAACTACATTTTGTATGCTTGTTTTATGTTTCGAATTTTATTTCACTTTTATGATGTAAAACTCGTTTTTAATTATTTAAAGAGTAAAAAGTAAAAAACAAAAAAGTAAAATTAGTAGCGCAGCGTTGAATTGACATCTAGTGGCATCTCTCGCTGAAAATGCGCGTATAGTATATAAAACACGTGCTGTTCGACGTTTTATTGTGATTGTTTCGTTGCGTGCGAAACACTTTAAAGTAAACAAAACAAAAAGTGTAATTGATTATATGAAAGAATAAAAAAAAAAATTAAGTAAATAAACACAATTAATGATAAAAACCAAAATAAAAGCATTGTATTTTAGATTAATGAGTAAATTAACAAAAATAAAAAAAATTATAAATGCACTCCTTTAACAAAAGACGTAGATGAAAGAAGAAAAAATGAAATTAAATTTTCCTTACCGGTCGATTGGAATTGATTTCAATAATGGAATTGAAATTCAGCCCGAGCATTACATTACGTGCCAGAGAGTGAGTCGGTGAATGAACGTGTGTGAGATTGTGAACGAAACGAACAAACGATTAAAAATAATTTAAAAAAAAAAGGGTACTCCGCCCACTACCAATGATGACTGTCTTGAATTGCACGTTACATTGAAATTGAAAAAAAAAATCAAACAAACGAACAAACGTGTGTTCAGTATTTTCGTTCTGTTTTTACTCATTTTACGTATTCGATTGATTCAAGGGTGCACCGGATGTATAAGACGATATTAAGACGAATAAAGGACGTACACTTCAACAAAAACGGCTATCGTTTTTCATTTTCAACAATTCACATTGTTGTCTCCTTTTAATGTAACAAAAACATTTTTTAGTATAAACAAACAAACACCTACTTTTTTTTACACATGTAAAAACGAACAATTTGGTAAATATATAATAATATTAATGTGTAACACGTTAAAACAATTATAAACAATATGTAACAAGGTAATAATACTTAAATTTCGAAGTCTCGAACTATACAACTTATACACACGCGACGTAACATTATGGCAGCGATCGATATATAATAAAACGGAATCTCGTTTTTGTTTGCGTACAAAAATGTCATGTGTGTGTATACCCGTTCGTCGATGGGACACACAGCACAGCACAGAATCGATTTTTTCATCATCATCATCATTATTATTATTACTTAAAAAAAGAAGGAAGAAAAAATCGTATTTATACACAACATCGCGTTATCTCGAACTCGCGGTTTATATAAAACTTATATATATTATTAGCACGTGTGCCGTGCGAGGTAAATGCGCGAGGAAGCAGCAGCGGCGGCAAGTGTGTGCGATATCGGCCTGATCAGCTACAGCTCCGATGATTATTGCGACGCCTGCCATTGTCGTTGTCCTCGAAGTACATGAAATCCTGCGAATACGAAAAAAATGAAGTACATATTTTTTTGTTCAACATCGCCGCGTGGAATATTATTATCGATCGAGAGAGAAGAGAGAGAAAAAAAAAGGTGATCGCGTTTTATCTTATCGGTAATAATATATAAACGCAAACACAACACGCATAGGTGACGATAATATTGCGAGCTTACGATCAAGAAGCAAGCGCCGAGGAGGACAGCCTTGATTTTGACGTCGAGATCGACGGGGAAGCCGATGCCGATCGACTGTCCGTCTTTGAAGAACGACCGGGCCAGGTCGGACGACCACTTCTTGGTGATGACGCCGACGCTGCTCTGCTGCTTGCCGGTCGAGTTTATCTATACATAATAAAATCAATTATTATTATTATATCTTTTTTGTTTTTCATTCGTGTGGATGAATCAACGAGTATAAGCGCCTCACAATAAAGTCCAACTCTCTGGGCCCGCAGCAGCGCAGATGTAACGGGCCCTTGAGGCCGAGCACGGGCTCGCCGTAGGCGTCGCGCACCGAGAACGACGGCCTCAGCGCGTTCCAGTTCTGGGCCAGGGTGCCCAGCAGCTCGCCGCTCGCCGAGTCGTATACGGACATCTCCTGTACGACGATTAAAAAAAAAAAATCAGCCTCAACTCGAATTTTATAATTAATACACGCAACATATAATTCGTCGCTCGTCGTATACCTGAAGACAGCACGGAAAGAAGCAGGACTCGCAGCGCCGGCTCCTGGCGATTCTGAGCACCTCGCGCCTGTCCGTGGCCGGCCTCTGCTCGACCAGATGAAAGTCCCAGTCGCGATGGCGGCCGAGGCAGCAGCGTCCGCAGGCACTGGACTCCTCGATGGCGCTGTAGATGTGCTCGCCCTCGGCCGTGGTCACCCGGTAGCGGCGCTCGTTGTCCAGTCGGCGCAGCGCTGACAGCCAAAATCAAATCGATCGATAACATTAAATCTTCGCACGATTATTAATCGTATCGAAATTATCGTTACCTTCGATGCCGGCGGGCAGCTCGTGCTCGACGAACAGCCGATCAAGGCGCATAAGCGAGAGCAAGCCGGGCGGTAAGATCGTAGTGTTCCCGTGCCATCCTTCTTTCGGGGCGACGACGTTGATGATGATGGTAACCGGAAACAGACGAGATGACGATGCGCCATGAGAGATCGATGCGAGCAAAAAATTCGATCGCGCGCTCGTGTCGTGTGATTATTTTATTATAAAATAGAACGATATTTATTGTACACGCGCGTGCGGCTATTCGTGGTATTTAGCAAGCGCCGCAGGCGCACGCGAACTCGATCCTTGCGATGCGATCGGCCCTGCTGTAATAATCGTTGTTGCTCCGCATCTGCCTCGCCGCATATCTGTGTGTGGGTATACATATCATAATGTGTGTCAACACGACGCGATTTTCAATTATATAATAAATAAACGCGATCGATCGATCGACGGCGCCTAGCAGGCAGCAACAGAATTATACGTAAATGAAATAAAAACCTGAGCCTCTCCTCGTCCTCGGTGTAGAACTTGCTGTAGCCCTGGCGCTTCTTGCGCAGCCTGCCGGGCGCCAGATGGGCCATGAATTTTCTCACGTGCTTGCCGAGCCTGCGCAGCTTCAGCTTCCAGGGATTGTGCAGCTGATAATCGGCGCAGTCCTTGAGATGCTCCTGCTGCTTCAGATGCTGCTCGTACATGATTATCGAACGAGTTTAACCCCTCGTTGCGTTCTCTTTGTCTCTCTTTTATGAACTTTTTGTTTCTTCCTTATCGCGACTACTCGTGCACGCGCGGGCAAACTTTCCTCGATGACGATTCGAGAAACGGGACGGAACGGTTTACGACGCGCACATTTATTTTGTAATATATATATGCGAGGCCCCCACGAGGCACGGACGAAAATTCGCCCACAGAGAGCAGCCGCAGCTCTTTCTCTCTCGTTCTTCGCGCCAACTACTATACTATCCTACTATCACTGCGTGTGCACGATACACCTCCTTCTTTCTCCTCTTCTTCTTCTTCGTCTATATATTATATCAACGGGGGGAGAGAGAACCGAGAGAGAGAGAGCGATAACCGCTAGATAAGTTAATTACACCGATATATATACGTGTATCAACTCGACTGTTTATGCGCGTACAGAAGAAGAGCTTAAATCGCTCGCGATTACGACGATTACAATATTATATTATCAAGCCTTATGTACTGCCACGCCAATTGTAACAACAACAACAACGACGTCGACGATCTTTTGGGCGATCTCGGCTCTCGCGCGATGCGATTATATATTATCGATTCACAAAATCGCGCATCATCGCACGTCGTCTAAATCGTCGCTGTCGTCCATAAAGTTGGGAGTAATTATCGACACGACGACGACGACGATCGGAAGAGAAATCGGCATCGTTGCAACTCATCTACGATATATACAATCTTATCGCGCGTGGGCTTCCGGGTTATTTTCCAGCTGCCGAAAAAAAAAATAAAACCCACAACGCACTCTTTTGTGCTTTTTATTGTTGCGACGATCGGCGTAACTCGCGCACTTTGAAATATAACACGATTTAATTATATCGTGATCGGTAAAACACTGCCACGATCCGACGATCTCTCTCGATCGCTATATCACGCGTCGACTGCGACTCTCGCGTTGCCGAGGTGTGTATCGTAACGTCGTCGTCGTCAGTGCACAGCCCATGTACGCACCGCAGATAAGCCGCAGAGACGCGCGCACACATACGAGTCTATTTAAGCGAGATGCTTAGATGTGTACGTGTCGATGCGTCGACGTGCAACGCTGTAAAATTCGCCGAGCATTGCATTATTTCGTACTTTTTTATACGGTATAAAATTTCAAACGCGATGCCAATGATCGACTGTTTTTTAATCGATAAAAATGCCCATGCGAGCACATTTTCTTTTCATCGTGCGGCTAAAATAAAACAAATAAAGAAGTGGATTCTTGCGAGGACTTCAAATCTTCATAACGTACGGTCTTTAACTACGTACTGAGAGAGCAACGAGCTCGCTAAAGAGATAAATGGATAACGACCGAATTACTCTCAATGAAGCTCTCTCTCTCGAGATGTGCATACTTCGAGAGGTGCGCATCCATCGTCGTTGTCATTGCATATCGTGTATACGAAGAAAATTGAAAGAAATTACGAGAGAATAATTTTTTAATACGTCTTATTTATTTTTCACTGGACATTAGCGCAAAAGAGAGATTCGATTATTTCATTTTCATCATCATCATCGTTACAGATTGAAATTGGAAAATCTGAGCCGGCCGAGCTTTCCGCCGAACAGATTGCCAACGAGACCGCCGCGTCTGTCCTCCTTCGTGTTGTCCTCCTCCTCGGAGCTGCTGCTGTTCTCCTCGGAGCTGCCACCCTTGGCGACGCTCACCGCCTGCGCCACGCTGTTGCTCGTCGCCGAGGCGTTGGCCGAGCCCGAGCCCGTGCTCTTGGCCGTGGCTCGGGCGTTGCCCTTGGACTTGGCATTGGCCACGGCGACGCTGTTGCTGGAGCTGACCGCGTTGGCCACTGCCTCGCCCTGAGCGTTGGCGTTGGCTACGGTGGCGCCAGCCTCCTCGCCGTTCTTGGCGCCCTTGGACTCGGCGTTGGCCACCGAGACGGAGTTCGTGGCGGCCTCGGTCGCACCGGGTCCGCTTGCGACGGCCTTCTGATTGGAGTTGGCTATGGCCACCTGGGTACCGGTGCCGACGGCGTTGGCCACCGAGCTGCCGTCCGATACGGCCTTGACCACGTTGAGGATGGACTCGCCACCACCGCTGGAGTTAGCCACGGCTTGACCGACCGAGTTGGCCTCGGCGCGGCCGTTCTCCGAGCCGCGTGCCTGAGCGACCGACTGACCCTTGGCCTGGGCCTCAACGTTACCCGCGCCCTGGCCCAGGGCGTTGCTCACCGCGTTGGACTTGGCCGAACCCGCGCCCGGACCCGCCGAGCCCTGCGAGTCCGAGACGGCCTGCGACACGGCGCTGGATTTCTGCTCCTTGCCGCTGGCATTACCGTTGCTCACTGACTCGGCGACGGCGTTGGCCTCGACCTGCTTCTTGCCCTTGGACTGGGCGTTGGCCACGGCGTTGCCCTGGCTCTGCGATACCGCGTCCACGGCGCTCTTCTCGCTCGTCTCGACCTTCTGGACGGTCTGGGAATTGGCCTCGGATTCGGCCTGGGCCTGTTGTTTTTCGGCTGCTTTACTGCCGCCGGTGGCTTTGGCGTCGCTGTTGGCCTGGGCTACGGCTATCGCGTCGCCTTTCTCGCCGGTCGCATCGGCTTTACCGGCGATGTCGGCTTCTTTCGGGACTTTGGTCGCGACGGCTTGGGCCTTGGCGTCGCTGGAAGCTTGAGCTTTGGCGTCTCCTTGGCCCTTGGCTTGAGCTTGAGCTTGACCCTGGGCTTGAGCTTTCGATTTTCCCTCGGATTGAGCCACGGCTACACCGGCCGACTGAGCTTTGGCACTGCCCTTACCCTGACTCTCCGCCTGAGCTTGACCCTTGGCTTGAGCTTCTGATTGTGATTTTCCCTTGGATTGAGCCACGGCGACACCAGCTGCTTTGGCGTCGGCGTTTCCTTGCCCTTTAGATTGAGCTTGAGCTTGACCCTCGGCCTGAGCTTTGGATTTTCCCTCGGACTGAGCTACGGCAACACCGCTGGACTGAGCTTTGGCGTTTCCCTTGCCTTGACTGACTGCTTGACCCTTTGCCTGAGCTTCGGCTTCGGATTTTCCTTTAGACTGGGCTACGGCAACGCCAGCAGACTGAGCTTCGGCATTTCCTTGTCCCTTGGATTGAGCCTGAGATTGACCTTCCGCTTGAGCTTTTGACTTTCCCTCGGATTGTGCCACGGCGACACCGGTGGACTTAGCTTTGGCGTTTCCTTTGCCTTGACTGACAGCTTGAGATTGACTCTTGGCTTGAGCTTCCGATTGTTTTTTGGACTTGGCTACAGCGACTCCGGCTGCTTCGGCCTCGGCGTTTCCTTGTCCCTTGGCCTGAGCTCGACCGTCGGCTCGAGCCTTAGATTTTCCCTCGGACTGAGCTACGCCGACACCGGCGGCTTGAGCTTCCGCGTCTCCTTGAGATTTACTGGCCGCTTGAGCTTGTCCGTTGGCTTGAGCTTCGGAAACTCCTTGTGCCTGAGCTTGACCGTTGGCTTTAGCCTGAGATTTTCCTTGGGCCTGAGCTTGACCCTGCGCCTGAGCTTTGGAAGCTCCTTTAGATTGTGCTTTGGCTTGAGCCTCGGCTTGACCTTGTGCCTGAGCTTTGGAAGCTCCTTGTCCTTGAGCTTGCGCTTGAGATTGAGATTGTCCTTCTGCTTGAGCTTGAGATTGTCCTTGAGCTTGAGCTTGAGATTTTCCCTGTGCTTGAGCCTTGGATTGGGCCTCGGACTGAGCTTGCGAGTCGGCCACGACGTCTCTGGTCGAACCGTCGACGATAGCCTCGGCCTTGGCGTCGCTATCGGCCACCTTGGACACCTCGACGCGTCTGCCGTCGGCTCGAGCCTTGGCTACGGCACTCTTGCCCAAGCTCTCGGCTTTGGACACCGCCTTGGCGTCGACGCTCTTGCCAGCTCGGCCGTCGGCCACTGCTCTGGAATCGGCTTTGGCCACGGAATTACCGGACGACGACGACGATGATTCTTGATTGTTGACCGCTTGCGCAACGGCCACCGCGTTCGAGCTTGCGACACTTTCTGCGGCTGTACATTACACGAGAGAGAGAGAGGTGTCGAGGTGGAAAAATACAAAAAAAAATTAATTTAAATGCCAATGAACTACACACGCGCGCGCGTGTAAATATGTAATATTATAAAATCGAAGCCTAATTTTTGTAATAATTACCAGGTCTCGACAGGGCGACGCCGACGAGCGCAGCTAACAGTAGAGCGCAAATCGACAGCTTCATGACTCTTTTTCGCTTCTCGAGGTTACGGACTGAAGCACTTCCGGATCTCGGCTTCGACTTATATACGCGCAGACTTTATTGTCATAATGAGAAAACACGACGCGGAGTCGAAGAAGAAACATCATCAGGGCACGTGTTTTCCAACGCAAGTAATGTTTTATCCTGCTGCTTCTGCATCAATATTGTGCCTGGGTGCGCGACGGGGTTATTCAGATAAGGTGAAGACGAAGAAGAAGAAGAAGAAAAAAAAAATCAGACGGAAATCGAAAACCTTGAGATTAATCGTGTGTTATTTCACGAAATAAACCCGATGCGATCATAATTCACGCATCAATCTCGCGTTTTCGTGTTGATTTTATTTAGTTTTATTTATTTTTATTTCTTTTTTAACTGTTACTTTGACGGGTGACGCAAAAATATGCCGAATTTTTCGTCACGATCGGCGTACATAGCCAACGAGTGGACCCAAGAAGATGAATGACCTCTGACGATCGTCGCGGTAATAAAATCCAAGCGAATTAACAATTCAATCAAGAGTAACGGTATATATCGAGGAAAAAAATTTGAATAAAATGCCAGGAAAGAAAACGGCTCCTGAAGTTTCACGTTTGATTATTTGATTATCTACGGTATATAAAATGTCTATTAGACGAAATTTCAGGCTATTCATTTTTCCGAATGAACTTTCATTACTTTATCGTAGCGCATCGATCTCGTCTCGTTGAGTCTCGCCGCGTTTGGGAATTTTCAGCGAGCATTTGATAAAGCATAGTTGAAGTATATCTGAAACTAGTCGCCGCTAGGTGTCGAGTTCGGGGCATATAAGGCTTGAGCTTTCGATTTGGCACCCGTTGATAGCTAGGGAAAAGGGAAGCATTCCAATGCTTTTAGGATTCACTTCTATATAATTGATAAACTTTACTTATTTAACTGCGCGTTTCGGATGCGACACCTATTGTCGACTTATTAAATTTATTCAGCAGCGAGGCTGGCTGCAGACGTTCCAGGGGCAACAGATGAGCTATGGTGAAAAATCGAATCGACCCAGTAAAATTAGCTCGAGCTGGTCGAAACTCAGTTCATTGATCTTACTTTGCTTTCAATGGTCAATCGTAAATAACTGAATCGGTACAGCTCAATATTGAATTTTTCGAATGTGAAATATGGAATGTCCAAGATATTAATTAAATGTTCCATTTATTCATTATATATTTATTATTAATTAAACGTTCGCAACTATTGCGATGCGCCACGTCTCGTCGCTTTACCTAAAATTGTCGAATATTTTGTAAAAGTGTTTAAAAAAATTGAAATATGCTCGCAGCTGTCACGGTCGATCGATGTGTTGAAGAAAAAAAATTATGTTCGATAACTCCTTTAACCTGAGTGAGAGAGAAAAAAGTGGAAAATCTCACCTGGTGGGGGCGGAGCACTCGGCGGCGGCGCTGGTGCTCTCATCTTCCGCATGTGATCGAGCCTGAATCACCTGTAAGAAAAAATAAATACATTATTTCGCATATGATCGATACCGGTATACGCGTGTGCATTTTCTTGGAAGCAATACACATCGATGTAAAAAAAAGAGTGAAAAAATGAGTAATGCGATTCGCGTCTCGACTTTTATACCATATATTTTGCGAATCATAACGTTGCGACAAGTGGATCGGAGTAAAAAAAAAAAACGTTTATCGTCGGGTTGTACTCTTTCTTTTTTTTTTTTTTATTTTCGTTATCGCGTATTATACAGGCGGTGAATACGATCGAGAGCGTGGCAAAAACACATTGTAAATATTTATCTATTATTAATCTCGAGCAACAGCGACGACGACGAAGACGACGATGTCGAACAGCGACGACGAGCTGGCTCGAAGTTATAATTTATTTCATTCTTAAGTTTTTCTGCGCACAGCAGCAGCAGCATGTATACACACATATATGTACGCACTTAATTTAAACATGGAAAGTTTGCAAATCCGCAAAATGTGCCATAACATTAATGACACGATGCTGTGTGTAAGTTTTTTAACGATTGCTCATGACTCGCTTCGAGAAAATTAGTTTCAAACACACACACACACACACACACACTCACACAATACATTGTAATGTACGCAAATTCGAGTTTATCTCGCAAGAGTACAACAGGTGTCGTTTCGACGAAACGAAACAAAAAATTTACTCATTTGGGTCATAATTTTATTTCAATTTTCTTTCAACGTAATCATAAATAGGTTTCATAATTTACTGTAACTCATGCTTAATTAATTAACTGATTTGGAAAGCGTTAGACAATGTATGTTCAAAGCGGACACTTTATACGATCAAATTAAAAGTAGTATGCGACACATGAATTATGAGTAAAATACACCAAATTAAAGGAAAATGTATGAATTGTACAATGGTGTACTGATATATGCAATAAAAACTCAAAATTTGACATGGTAAAGGTGAGAAATACAAAGTGAAAAAAAATTGTTCGTATCATTTTTTTTTCCGCTTTATCGTGAACAATACAATATATTCGTAGAGAAAGTATTTGTTTATTCGGTAAATAGTATCATGCGATGTATCCAATGTTTGCCGTTTTAACAGTTGCCGATAAAGTTGCAAGCTTTGCTCATTATCAAACGTGAAAGTATATTACCAGTGTCATAGGTCAACTTGCAATCGTCCAACGAAAGATTTGATCGTCGGCTCGCAGACTAACTACTGCGATTAATTGAAACAATAATTTTTTCATGACATTTTCACCTCTTCTCGTGTCTACATAAATTTACTCGTTGATCAGTAATATGACTATATATATTTGTTTACGTCATTGGCTATTGATAAAATAATGCAAATTTCAGCACGATTATGCAGGACTAGGCAAAGCTAAATCAATTCATCGTGTTGCGACACACGCATAAAAAGGTGTACGAGGGAGAGGCACGAGCTGATAGCGCGAGGAAATAGCACGCCGGTGTGACTATTCGGTACGTTCCACCTCGTAATGAATAATAATCTGCTCCGCGTGCTTTATTCAATTCGCCTTTTTTTTTCCTCTTTCCATGGCGAGCTCGCGAAATAACTCGTATATGTACCGCACACGCGTGCGCTTCCCTGATGCAGTTTCTCGCATCAGGACACAATTGTGCACAAAAGACACACAAAACTTATATCTTCGCCGTAACTAAACGTAACGATCGGTGATTTTTTTTCTCGAAAAAATTATCCGAGTGCACGTGCGTCACGCTCGGCATACAACAGGTGTACGGGGCTTTGTCCAGACAAAAGCTTTTACTAGCTTTCGCCGCAAATCTGCCGCTGGGCTATATTACACGGAGCGACAAATCTAGACCCGTGTATTTCCGTCTAAAGGTTAGATCGACCCACTTGATTCCTCGAGATTCCAATCGAGAGACACGGACTTGCTTCTCTCTCCTCCCTCTCGCTGATCTAGCGTAATAAGATATCCGCGACTGAACTTTGACGTAGGGTCCGCTTTACATATAGCCGAGTGCGAGATAATAATGACGATAATACGAGAATGACGTTTGCGTCGCGACGCCGCTGGCTGTGCTCGGCAGCTGTACGACTGTATATCGTGCATTTGTCGCCGCGTACGTTGACTATATCAGCCTGACGGCTCAGTCTTGCGCTAGCGCGTGGACGCACGATGCTGCACGGAAAAAAAGCTCAGTAAACGGTACGAAAACGTTAGTTATAATAACAAAATTCGTTTTTGTTACCCCAACCGAAATATTTTAGTTACGACATCCATTTTTCCTGTTGCTGCAACGAAATGGACTTTCGTTGTCCTAACCGAGAAAATAGTTGTCGTAACTAAAATATTTCGGTTGTGGTAACAAAAACGAACTTTGTCCTTGCAACTATCATATTGAGTTACCACTATTTACTGCAGACTGAAAAAAAAAAAAATGTATACGTAAGTCCAGCGAAAGTGGACAGTTGATCAGTAAAAATTATTTTGCTGTGGCAGCCAATATTTTGGTCGCCGCGGCTGAATAATTTTACCGTCCAAACAAAAGGTAGCAGCACATCTGCATGCTTCGTCACAAAATATATGCTGCAAGTGAGGCTAATGACAATGCCTCAGTGCTTGTGTGCGTGTGTGTAGTCAAGTGCCTATTTTCTCGTGAGTAATTATTATCGTGTAACATTAGCTTTGCCGGCGCATCGCCTATACCATGTAAACATAAGGAGCGCAAATTCTCGTAGCAGCAGGTGATTCCAAGTGTTATTGAGATGTGCTGCAGGCACCTATCCTGTGCTCAGCTGATTGACGATAACCGGCCGGCTCCGCGTTCGAGCAGTGAATCATATTGCCGCTCTATATTAGATATCGTTTATTAATCGTGGGCCGAATTAAGAGGCGACGATTTCGACACACGCGCGATCTCATTGATTTTTTTTCTCGCTTTTTGTAATTTTTCATTGATCGCCTTGAGCTTCGTCCTTGCGTCGCTGCCGCCTTACGGCTATTTCCTGGGAAATTGTACGGAAAATTTCATTCGTCACGCCTGGCTGATCGGTTGGACGCGTGGATAGTTATATTTTAAAATTCGTTTCGATCGCACAGGTGAAATCACGGAAACGCTTCCGAGGCACGTAGGTTTGGTGAAGCCGAACCAAGCCTCGGCATGGGAAATACTTTTCTGGCTGACACCGGAATTCGTCGTGTTCCCAGTTACGCTGACGATTTATCGTCTGTCCCGTCCAAGGAGATGAGAATGTCACAGCGACCGTTCGACAACAGTACGAGATGCGCTCCAAGGAGCGCGTGGCCAAGGTAAACTTCGTCATTTTCGTACAAAATGTATCTCCTTGCAACTGCCATTGATATACATCCACTGAGTAGATTATCAACTTCCTCGGCACGATCGGCACCCACTCGAACGAAATCGTCGTCGTTGACGTCGTTTTGAAGCGTCGCTGTGCTGTGCGCGCGACTGCGGGTGTGTCTAGCGCTTGATGGTGCCAGTCGGTGCTCGAAATCATTATCGACTAATAAGCGAGAGTGTAGCATCGACAGAGACCGTATAGGCAGATAAGACGACGCCACGTCGTGAATTAGATAGCAGTAGGCGCGTGTGACAAATAATACATATGGTCAAATCTCAAAATAAAATTCCGTTTCGTCAACAAAAAAAAGTGAAATTTTTTTTTGCGCGCCCAGCGGCCCAGACCCTTGCAAATTGTTCATAGGACCTCCAGAAGTGAAAAAAAAAACGCGTGAACATGAAATTTGAAAATAGTTAATTTTTTTGGGTCATTTTTGTGTTTTAGACCCCGAAAAGTCATCTTTTCACGCAAATACGACTCATTACTCGATTTCCAAGTCGTTGAAAAAGTATCAAAACTCATCTAAAAAATTTAACTGACTACTCTGTTCGATAGAAAATTTCCTCAGCTTTCCGATGGTTCTATTCGATTTTTCGAAATATCCAATTATCACCGCGAAAATCGCTGTTCTCCGTTTCCTTTTTTTCAGAGCGGTCTTAAGGTTTTTAGCGTTGCACGGCTCGCTACAATCGAAATTCGCTCGTAATTAGACTCAAAAATAAATGAAAATATGCTTTCGATAGGAAATTTCCTCAGCTTTCTGATGGTGCAGTTAGATTTTCCGAAAAATCTCAATTTCACAAGGAAAAATCGAAAATAATCCAAAAAGTTCACCTTTTCCGTACTGAATTTTTCGACATATTTAGCCCTCAATGTTTGATGGCGATTTTCGTGGCGAAAACTGGATATTTCGGAAAGTCTAACTGCACCATGACAAAGCTGAGGAAATTTCCTATCGAACAGAGTAGTCAGTTAAATTTTTTAGATGAGTTTTGATACTTTCAATAAGTCGTATTTGCATGAAAAGATGACTTTTCGGGGTCTAAAACACAAAAACGCCCCAAAAAAATTAACTATTTTCAAATTTCATGTTCACGCGTATTTTTTCACTCCTGGAGGTCCTATGAACAATTTTCAAGGGTCTGGGCCGCTGGGCAAGCAAACAAAATTTCACCTATTTTTGTTAACGAAACGGAATTTTATTTTGAGATTTGACCATATACCAAATCACACACAGACGCACACACACACTTGTGTATATAAATATCATTCGCCACTGGATCGAAATATTACTACCGTAGGAGAAATATATTCCTCTCGGCAGTTTTTTAACATATATATTCCACTGCTCGAAATATAGAAGCTAGTAGGTAAGGCACATCGATCGAGCTCGCGCGACTCGTCTGCTTGTGTGTTGTAATAATTCGCGCGACAGCGAGTTCGAACTATACGACAAAAGCACAATCACGACGATTCAACAATTGTTTTACAAACTACTTGTGTGTACCGTATAAATAAACGGAGAAGTAGATATGGAAGGCTCGAGTCGATTCGCAATCCTCGGTCTGCTATTTATAGCATGTACCATTGGCGAGGTGCTATCAGGTAAGTGTCTTTTCATGTGAACACGTCCTATTCTCATCGTTTTATATAGTCGTAGTTTTTAATCTAAAATTGATCATCGGGACATCATAACAATTACCCATTCTATCCCATTCTACCCTCACGTTAATGCCAAGTTTTTTTTTTCGTATACGATTTGATCACGTCGATCAAGAGAGGTCGACCAAGCTATACTACATCTCTCCCTGTCTCTCTCTCTGTTGCATTTAGTCACTGGTCAACGTGTTATACACTCGGCAACAAAATTATCGCAACAAAAAAATTCATCGAAATTTTGTCGATTTTCAAATGCTTCTATCTTGGGCTAGATTTATCGTATCGACACGCTTTTTTTTTAATTTCTTGGAAATTTTGTCCTCTTTAAATCCATATAAATTAAGATAAGATTTGAGTTAATGTTGAGTTACCAGTAGTATTTGAGCGTGACCCTAAAAATTACTGAAAAAAAATGACTGTTTGAACGTGTACCAGTACCACAGTGATTTTTTTATCGAAATCTAACATACACCATCGCAAAGTGCTCTTTTCAACGAGTAATTTAAAAAAAAAAAGACCTCTCTACGATTTTTTTAACGCCCTGTAGGTCGATTTGAAGATACCATTTAAAGTACGTAAAATCCCCCGTTTACCTGAAATCAAGACGATTTTCTGGTCATTTTGCGAACATAAACCGTACCTTCAAATCGACCTACAGGGCGTTAAAAAAATCGTAGAGAGGTCTTTTTTTTTTAAATTACTCGTTGAAAAGAGCACTTTGCGATGGTGTATGTTAGATTTCGATAAAAAAATCACTGTGGTACTGGTACACGTTCAAACAGTCATTTTTTTTCAGTAATTTTTAGGGTCACGCTCAAATACTACTGGTAACTCAACATTAACTCAAATCTTATCTTAATTTATATGGATTTAAAGAGGACAAAATTTCCAAGAAATTAAAAAAAAAAGCGTGTCGATACGATAAATCTAGCCCAAGATAGAAGCATTTGAAAATCGACAAAATTTCGATGAATTTTTTTGTTGCGATAATTTTGTTGCCGAGTGTATCTATTGATTTTTTTGCTATTACAGGCATATTATCGAGACTTCGTGTAAACCTACGTAAAATCGATCGCTTTTTTATCGATTTTTTAAATCTCTTGATCGGTCTGTGACGTCATTCAAGTGTAAATAGGTAATATATAAGCATTAGTATAGTTAAACTTCTCCGTTCTTCGAAGGTTTTACGACACAGCAGACCATAAAATTATGTAAATTTTTCCACACTAAAAATTGCTTCTCACTGGCAAATATTGAATTCAAGTGGCTTCGACGAATCATGGAATTCCTTACCATTTTCATTCTTATCTATGATAAACTCGAATAATAATGGCAACTTGATCTACTTGTAAATTAGCGCGTGCAAGTAGGCGCGCCATTGCATGGAAGCGACCCGAGTCTTTTCTAATCTTTTCGATTATCATCGGCCAAGCTCAATTAAATTTAATCAAAATCCAACTAATAGGTTGGCCGTGTTGTTATTGCTTTTCCATAATTGGAGCCGATTGGATCAACGAACCCCTTTCGAAACAATATTTTACGATCACTGCAAATACAATTAATTCCCTTATCCTTCATATAATAATCACCTAGTGAAATCACCAATCCCTCCCTCATCGAAACAACTAATCAAGAAGCTCATATAATATGACTCTGTCTTCTACGGCGGACCAACAACGCCATCAGTGGATTACACAGGGGACACTCACGTTCGCGTTAAGCAGCATTGGGAGATAACCTGCAGCAAAGTTAAGGATCTGAGCAGCATCTGGTGGAAGCGCAATGGCATGGTATTGGGAGTAGAAGAATTTTCCACCGGTATGATCAATGTGAAATCGCCAGTCCAGAATGTTACCGACAAAACGTGGTCCAGTACACTGATTGCACAGGAAGCAACGGAGGTTCACGAGGGAGCTTACACGTGCAGCGACGAAGGCAACGAAACTCACCATCTCACTCTTATCAATGGTTCGTAGAATGGATAAAAAACTTTAACGCCCATCATTACTTCATAATGTATAACTTTGCCGTATAATTGCATATGTGCATAAAAAATCGTCATCATCACACTAAATATATTCATTTTTAACATTGACATTTGTTTGCATTTTACTTAGCCGCTAAGAAACGTGTGATAACAAGATTGGCGTGGATTTCATTAGGAATAAAATGAATCTAGCTGTAAAAGAAGCTTACATTATAATATTGAGTTTGAGGTTGAGGTTGGGCCTAGGGGGCTGTGATGTTCAGGATTTTTATTTTTTATTGTGTTCTTGAAGAGTAAATGGTTAGTTTCAACTTCGTTTTTTTGCCTGCAACACCTGTTGTGGAATAGCCCATATGTGGACTCGTTTTTCTATTTCTCAGCTTTACAGTAACGTTACACGCACGCGACGCGCTTTTTTTTCATACATAATAGTTTATATCTATATCTCTCCAAAGATCTTTTTCGCACGAGTTCATTCACAAGTGCGTGTGCGAGGGAATACGTGTGCAAAAAGTTTGCGTGTGTGTGTGTGTGTGTGTGTTTTTTTTTTTTTTTTTTTTTTTTTGGACGTGGGCAGAGTGAACTCTGCAGCCAGTGGCCCTTCGAAACGAGTACCCCACTGGAAACCGTCGTTAAACATTACTTCGGTGGGGACTGTATAGAGCTTCTCTGCTACATCTGTGTCTTTTCCGTACATCCGCCGTCCGCCTTACGGTGATTAGGGGTTCGGGAACCAGAAGCGTCGTTTTCGTCTTTTTCCTACAGCATCGTCCGGATTGTTTTATTTACACCTCTTGCGCTTCTTGCTTCAGTCTAGTGACGACTGATTACGCAAAGGACGCTACCGCGAGACAATTGCCTGCGGTCTCGAGCATGAGCCAGACGATGTTTTCCGGCTCGATTTCTTCTTGGAGGACTTATTGAAGTCTCTCCCTCTCTTCGTGGAATAGCGAGCAGTGGAAGAACACATGCTCCGCGTCTTCTATTGTGATAGGGCAGGCCGGGCAGAGTGCGCTAAGGGTGTTGTCATAGCGCTGGCTATCGCTTTTGAAGTAGCCATGCCCGGACAGGAGTTGTGTGAGATGGTAGTTCACTTCTCCATGCCCCCTCTCTACCCATTTTGCGATGTTCGGAATTAGACGGTGTGTCCATCGGCCCTTTGTGGCCCGGTCCCACCGGTCCTGCCACTTGCTCAGCGTCTCTCTTCTCTCCTCCTCCTTGACATCCTCGGGGCGGCGCTGGTATCGCTCGTCTGCCAGTAGGGGCAGCGGTGGTACGCCGGCTATCACGTACGTCGCGTCGTAGGAGACGTGTGGTCGCCCGCTGATCACGCGCAGGCAGGCTCGTCGGTGCACGGCCTCCGCTTGACGGATGTAGGCCTGCGTCTCCGTCGCACATCTCCAGATGGGCGCTCCATACAGGAGGATCGAGTCGACGACGCGAGCGTAGAGTTCTCGTCGGCTACTTCTGGGCCCACCGGTGTTGGGCATGATCTTCGCGAGAACTCCAGCCACTCTTGCTGCCTTTTCGCTGACGGTTCGGAGGTATTGATCGAACCTCAGCCTGGAGTCAATGTGTAGGCCCAGGTAGCGGATGCAGGGGGACGACTTTATACTGCAGTCGCCCACTGTGATGGTGATGGTTTCCATTTTCTTCCTGCTAGTGATGAGTAGAGCCTCGGTCTTGAGGTCAGCCGTTACAAGGCTGAGCTCGTAAAGCGTGCCGTGCACCTGCTCGATGGCAGCGTCCAGATCGTACTCGATCTGCCACGGCTGGTGCTTAGCAACGGCCACCAGGGCGATGTCGTCCGGGAAGCCTACGATCCTTACGTTGCCTCTGAAGTTGAGGCGCAGCACGGCGTCGTACATGACGTTCCACAGAATGGGCCCCAAGACAGATCCTTGCGGAACGCCTGCTGTGACTCTGTAGGACCCTGGCCCGTCGTCCGTGTCGTAATCGAGGACTCTCGCTGCGAGGTAGCTGCTGATTATTCTCAGCAGTTACTCAGGCGTGCTTATCCGGCGCAGCGCGGCGAGGATGCTGTTCCACCGAGCCAAGTTAAACGCGTTCTTCACGTCGAGGGTCACGACGGCGCAGTATTTCTTGGTGCCGCGGTTCCATCTCTTGCCAGCGAGAGTCTCTCGAGCAGTAGCGATGTATACTGGTATACTTTTCTTTCTTTCGGTGTGTGTGTGTGTGTGTATGTGTGTCACGAGCAGACATCGTGACAGTATTTGGTTGTTTTCTCCAAATTTTCTCGCTCTTTAACTTATTCTTTCATTTAATGTTCCTTATCAAGAGGTGCGATAGCACCTAGCCGGCAAAGTATAAAAAAAAATTATAAAAAAATAATTTTTAAAAAAAAATTTATTTTAAAAGAAAAAATTAGTTAGAATTTGAAAAAAAAAATTTTGAAAAATAGATGTATACTTGATCGCTTGTGTTGTCCATCGATTGCTACGTATATACGTTTTTTTTGTCATCAAAGCATAATAACACTAGCTAAATCTATTAGTTTTCAGCCGTTTTATTGACTATTCGAATACTCCACGCGTTGATATATGTAACATTTTTCACAATGATGCATAAACGTGAGATTTTGCTATTTTTGGTAATGTGGAGAATCAAATAAGTGAAACTTTATTGTTTTAATTTCTTGAGTACATTAATTTGTTAGTCTACTGTAAATTTACTTCACTTGTATTGTAATAATCAAACTTGAATGTGCATGCACACCAAGTGGAAATGTTTCCGTAAAGCTTTGTTTTATATACTGAATTAATCTTGTTGTTGAGAAAGCAAGAGATTGAAAAATACCAAGCTTCTTTATATGTCTGCGCACATTGTGTATACTTTTCTACTCAATGTTTTTCCGCGCATTAAGATAGTAACATTTTTTTTGCTCCACGCCACATGTAATTTTTGGAAGGTTTTCAAAGTAATTTTGTATTTGGTGTTACTTAAAATAGATATTCTCTTTAAAAAAATGATTTTATTATTTTGCATTTCCTTGAAGGAAATAAAGTTTGTACTGTTTTTCTCCGAGTAAATCTTATACTTTCGATGTAAGTTTTGATGTCAAATGCAGCGTGTTCTGAATAACTACCGGTTATGAATAGATATTAGGATAAATTTTCCATTCAAACTCCTGATATTTTAATTTACATTTATTTTCATGTTTCTTATCATTCAAGTTCGAGTAAAATTTTGAACAACGAAGCTCCAAATATCTAATAAAAAATTTGAATCAAAATTCTCATGAAATATTGATCTAGGTCACAATTCGAACAATATAAAAAGATTAACCCCTTTCGAAACAATATTTTACGATCGCTGCAAATACAATTAATTCCCTTATCCTTCATATAATAATCACCTCGTGAAATCACCAATCCCTCGCTCATCGAAACAACCAATCAAGAAGCTCATATAATATGACTCTGTCTTCTACGGCGGACCAACAACGCCATCAGTGGATTACACAGGGGACACTCCCGTTCGCGTTAAGCAGCATTGGGAGATAACCTGCAGCAAAGTTAAGGATCTAAGCAGCATCTGGTGGAAGCGCAATGGCATGTCATTGGGATCAGAAGAATATTCCACAGGGAAGATCAATGTGAAATCGCCAGTCCAGAATGTCACCGACAAAACGTGGTCCAGTACACTGATTGTACAGGAAGCAACGGAGGTTCACGAGGGAGCTTACACGTGCAGCGACGAAGGCAACGTAACTCATCATCTCACTCTTATCAATGGTTCGTAGAATGGATAAAAAATTTTGACGCCTCGGGCACTTAAATCATTACTTCATAATGTATAACTTTGCCATATAATTGCATATGTACATAGTAAGTCGTCATCATCGCACTAGATACATTCGTTTTTAACATTGAAATTTGTTCGCATTTTACTCAGCCGCTAAGAAACGGTGATAACAAGATTGGCGTGAATTTCATTAAGAATAATAAGTATCTAGCTGTAAAAGAAGCTTACATTATAATATTTGGTAAAAGTTCAAAATTTTTAAATGGACAAAATTGAACAGTATATTAAAGATTTTAAACTATTCAAAAGATTTCAATCTATTTTTAGTAGCTTCACTCAACTCACATTAATACTCATTGTAAATACTTACTCAGTTTTATTTTTGTAATTCCTATACATTTCAGATTTGACTTTAAATTTTTTTTAATTTTCCACGTAATTCCTTAGTATTCAATGAGAAAATATCAAATTTATTCAAGTTGTATTTGTACATAAATCATAGTTGCTTTTTCATGTTATATTATTATAGCAATATTTATAATCATGATGATTGTATCGTTAGTTGAAGAATAATTCAATCAAAAATAAAAATACTAGTTGATGCTCTTAGCATAAATTAAAGTAGTTTTTTAGTTCGTTTAAACACTTATTCTACTTTTATTTTGTCTCAGAAGGCGAACCAAATGGAATGAACGGTAAAAAGAGTCAAGAATCGCTTTTCACCAATAACTTTTCTTTCTCTGTCGTTTTCTGAGCTCGTTTCGACAAAATCGTTCTAAACATTAATAAAGTTCATTCCACCGCCCATACGGCAAAAGTTGCAATGAAAATGTGATTTGTCTCATATTGCGCTTTCGCGCGCACATTGATCGAATGGATTTTGGAAAAATCAGGGCAAAAATGCATTCAAACTCGTGTCAATTCATCAAATTTCATTTTTTTTTCTTTTCCTTCGATCAATCACTAGCCAAGGGTATAACCTTTAAGAAATATGACAAATTTTTGGTTTCAGATGATCCTGTCCAGAAAAATCTTACCCTAGGACAATAGGATGACCGAGGAAAACTGATGGAAAATTAACATTTTTCAATAGTTTTGTCTGAAAATTGTGTTTAAAGCTTTTCTAACAAATAAACTTCATTGTGTAAAAATTTCAAATTGATTGAACTTTTCGTTTTTGAAATATAATTTTTCAAAAAAAAAAAAAAAATTTCCGTCACACTGGCTATCTATAAAGGGTCTTGAAATTTTAACCACATATTATTGATAGTGCTTTTCATATGTGTGATAAATTTCATGAAATTTAAGCAAACCATTTCCGAAATATAATTAATCAAGTTCGGTACTTTAACATGGGATCCCTATGCTAGCGTGTCGAAAAGACGCTATTTTGTGTGATTATAAAAAAAGGCTTCGATAAAATCTTTTCAAAAACTAGAAGATGATTCTTCGGTATGTACTAAAATATAGCTCAAAAACTGGAAAAACTGGACCACACAGTTTTTGAGAAAAGTTAATGTAAAAACATTGCAAAAATAAAAATTTCAACTTTTTTACCTAAAACCCACTTTTCAAGGTTTCCGGGGTCATTTTAAACAAAAAAGTGCTCTTGCAAATTTTTTCTAAAATCTAATGTTCACGAGCTATAAACGATTCAAATTTAAACAATTTCAAGCAATGAATCTTAGAATTTGTCAAGGAAAGCGTATGAATTTTTTCAGATTTTTTCTAGACATATGCCCAAATTTGTCGGTCAGGTCTGAGGGTCCTTTTCCAGAGAAATTCGTACTCGCTACGCTCGGGTGAAAACAACTCCTGGATGAGTCAACTGCTTCGCGTACTTGTTACAAAATATACTATTTTCAAAGTCGGCGAAAAAAATTTATTATCGTCTAATTTTGCGATTTTTCATTAATTTTTCGAGTCAAAACACCGTTGAAAAAAATGAACTTTATGATATGATTATTTTTTAATCTAAATTCGAAATTTTTTTTTTTCACTTGTGTCGTTAACTATTTTTAATTTCATCGGATTAAGTGTCCGCTTTATCGTGAACATACAATACTTGGAGTTTGTTTTTAAATAATTAATATTATTTACTTGTTCTAAATATCCCGTAAAGGACCTATGGGGAGCTGAAGAGCTCGCATGCAGAGGCCTATGCAAGCATATTCATATAAATTGTAAAAATATAATTCATCGCCATATGATATCAAAATCTTCAATTTCTAGGAGGATTATCTAGTCAAATTTATGAAAATAATCAATTCATTACTCAAAGAAAACAACAGTGCAATATTCGTTCATTATTTTTGCTCTAAAAATTATACACGTGTCTACAAAATGTCGGGACTGTTTTTTATTTCACCTATAAGTCCAAAGATTGTCTCGAAAAATTATATTTTTTTTGCTTTTTCGGACGATATCTAATTTTCATCAATCGCTCGCGCGACCTCTCGAATCTGATCACGAGCCAAAACAAATCTCGACGAACGTTAAATCGTCGCGTCTTGGCCGAGCTACTCAAAAAGGTAAACAAAACGCGTCACACACACACACACGTATCGATCGAATCCCTGCGAGTCCAGTCAGCGTGTCAACTTGTTCCGAACTCAACGCGCGTCTTCGAGCGCAAAATGGATAAAATACCCAGGATTTCTCTTGCCTCCCCCGACGCTCGTACTGTCCGTCCCACCGCTCGACCGACTCCAGCGGACGAGACCGACAACTATCCCCTGGTCATGTCGTGGCAGACGGCCGTGGCGCCCAGGGAGACCTACGACACGATCTTGAGGGCGGCGAGCGGTCGGGGCCTACTGTGCCACTCGGAGCGCATCCGCGAGCACTGGCACACGTACCGGGACGCCTTTAACGACGACACGCCGACGACGTTCGCGCAGCGCTTCGTCGAGATCGAGAAGCCCAACTACTACGAGAGGTACTGGCGGAACTGGCATGGGGACAAGTACTATCTGATCGAGCTGCCGCAGATCGCGCGGCTGGCCCATCTCATGTTCCTCGTCATGCATCTGTATCGGCCGGAGGACAACTGGCCGATGCCGTTCACCGCGGAACTGCTGATCCAGACGACGGAGTGGTCCAACGCGGTGGGTTTCGAGAAACTCCGGGCCCACGTGAGGCCCGAGCTGTGCAAGCAGATGACCGAGGGCGAGCTCGAGGACACGCTCAGGATCTATCTGTTGTCGAAGAGGATACCGGAGGACGAGGAGTTGAACCGGGCGATCGACCAGTTCTTCGAGAGCCGCAGGAGGCTGGAGGACGACGCGCCCGGGGACACGGGCGAGGAGTTGCGCGCGGCGCGCTTGGAGGTGGCCCATCGGGTTTTCACCGAGACCCCGAGCGAGCAACGGGAGGGAATTAAAGAGTTGATCGAGCGGTATAATCGACTGGAGAGATGACCGAGTAAGACTATTGGATGATGATTGCGGGCGAAATAATCTATGTATGTAATGTAAAAAGCTCCTGTAAATGTAATAGTGACTCGTAAGTTTTATTGTATCGCACACACATTGTAAATATTGCCACGTCGTCGATAATAATATGAATAATTGACAAAGATCTCTTGATCACATTTTTTTTATACATTATATCTTCCACGATATTAATTATCGAAATCAAAAGCTGTATTACAAAACAAGATGCATCAGTGGGACGAAAAAATTGGATCGAAATCTCGGACGCAAATTTCAAACAATAACTTCGTAAGTAACTCGAATGCCTCGACTCGTTAAAAATAAGTTGATTCGACGACAGTTCAACGAGGAAACGACTGATTACGAGCGAAGTACAACATTTTGGAAAACTTTTTTTTGTACAAATTCAAGCAAGTTATCTATATAATAAAAAAAAAACAATCATTCGTAATGAGTTGCATGAACTTCCAGAAAGAAAATTCAACTAAATAAAAGGATTCTGAAGTTTCACTCGGGGTGCTTTCATATAGATATTTTTGAAATTTTTAAATATAATAGGGAATAAAAAAACTTGAAGAATTTATTTTTCATGCATTTTAAAATTTTCGAAACTTTCTTCTTTCGTACTTTGATATTTTAAATTAATTGAATTTGAAGTACAAAATCATTGTTTTACAAAATCATTGTTTTCTCGTCCTTTTTATTTCTACTATCGGAGCTTCGAGTGCGACCAACAGGTGGCGCATCGCCGCAAAAAAGCTCGTACCCGCAAGAGAGAAACAACCTTTTAGGGTACTAGTATAGTCAAATGAACTCTATATAATATTCAAAGTTATGAATTGTTTTAAGAAATAGATTGGACAAAAGCCGGTGTGACATCTTGCGACCGCTTCTGGTATAGTACCGCTCGCATCCTTGCTTTCTCACATCTTCCCCTTTTTCACGAAAGGTCGCGAAACAATTTACGCACATCGTACATTATAATTTATATTATACAGTACACAACTCCACCAGATCGCGTGCTGCAGCTATATATCGTATAAGCGCGCGCTCGTGCGAGGAGATAAGGTAGGGAAACGATCATCGACCGAAACTCGAGCCTCGGATAGGCAGCTTTCGACATTTTATGCACGATGATACATCGTGCGGGCGGGCGGGTGTACGATCGGCCGCGCGAAATCTGCCTTATCCTCGTACCCACCCACGCACGCATACCTACACAGCGCACGCAGATACAAATGCGCGTAGAATCGATCGATTCGATAATAATATACATTCAAATTCGTGGCTCCGTATACATACGATATACATACACACACACAAAGGATTCAAGGGACGCACATAGCTGCTGCTGGGGTGAGCGCGAAATCAGCCTGTTGCGCCTGCCCGGATGTAGCCCGTATACAAAGCTCCCCCGTTAAATTTCGCACGCGCCGATCTCGCTACGACGCTTTGTGTATATCATAAGCTGCCGCGCGCGTTGTTTCTATATCGTGTCGAGCTTTCGCGTTAGCCGCAAGCCGAGGCCCATCGCCCGGCGTATCATCCGGTTTATGCACACCGTTTTAATAATAATAACAACACGTCACGAGCGAGCGAAACCGCACGAGCGAGCTTGCGCGCGATAAAGCGTGTAGAATTACCGATGGTATATATACGGATATTCGGCGAACGATAAAAGGGAAGCTTACAGCAGACTCCGGAGCTTTTGACGTATAAAACGGTAAATACGTCTCTCGGATATATAATAATAATAATAACTATAGCAACGTATTCCCTCAACGTTTGCGTTCGTCGAGTCGTGTAAAAGCTCGCTCGTGATTTTTTCTATATATACACGCATAAACGCCCTTTCCCGTACCATACACTCTGTCTATCTATCTCTCTATCGCCGAGGCTGTTCCGAAATTCAATTTGTCAGGTGTGTATATGTATAGCAGCCAGCGGTGGAACGGCAAAGACTTTCTCTCTTTAGCTTTGCGCCGTGCGCAACCTAGCAGCAGCAACATGTGTATACATACAAGCCTGCGTCGTCGTCGTACGTCCCGGGGGCGAAATTTAATCAATCCTGTGCGGCCCCCGTGGGCTTGGTGAGCGAGGATGCAATCTGTAAACACACCTCCTCGCTTATATATAATATACATGCATACATACATGTCGCGCAGGACAGAGAGAAGGAGAGTCTTTGGTCAAACGGAAAAGGGCCGTTAGGTATTATATATACTAGAGAGAGAGAGAGAGATTGATTCGACGACGTGACCAGGCTCCGTATAATATAACTTCATCCAACAACAACTTGGGCGCGCGTGTGTACTACTTGGAAGAGCTATTAAACGACTGCGTGCGTATGTGCGCGCGCTGCAGCCGAGCGCGGTGCAACTTCATTACGCGCCTTTGAGCTCAACTTCTCGTGCTATTTTATACGCGATATTATATAGAAGCCACACCCGACACGCACACGACACCCGCACCGAGTTTGATAGGACATAAAGGAAGAGAGAGAAAGAGAGGACCGTATAATTGCGCTGTGTCCACGCGCGTATAATAAGGTACGCGTCAGGCACAGGTATGCTTGACGAAATATTTTACATATGTATATAGCTGTATATGTGTGTGACCGAGGTGGGGGAAGCCGAC